TCTTTGTTCTTTCCTATAATTCCCTTCAAAATAAACAAGACAAGCACTGGATCTATATGAATAGGTTCCTTCAGGCCTTTTCAGCTTTAAGCAGCTGATTACCCGTGCCTGGCAGATTCATACTCATCTTTGATTACATCTGAAATACCACTTAGTTTATAAGGCTTCTATTAATATTCCCCCTACAAGCAGAATTAGGCTCTTTATTTTCCGTTCTCCTATGGCATTTTGTTATATAACTACATTAGAACATTTTAAATTGTTGGGTAAGAATTACACATGGTCCCCAACTTATGATGGTTTGATTTTTTTTACGATGGTACACATACAACCATTCTGTTTTTCACTTTCAGTGCAGCATTCAATGAAATACATGAGATATTCAACACTTTGTTATGAAATAGGGTTTGTGTTAGATGATTTTGCCCAACTGTAGGCTAATATAAGTGTTCTGAGCACATTTAAGGTAGACAAGGCTAAGCGAAGCTATGATGTTTTGTAGATTAGGGATATTAAATGCATTTTTGACTTATAATATTTTCATCTTATGATGGGCTTATGAGAAAGTAATCCCACTGTAAGTTGAGGAGCATCTGTATTGTTATATCTCTTTTCCCCCAATAATTTGACTTTGGGAGCAGACACTGTATCTTACTGATTTGAATTGTCAAATGCTTGATACAAATATTTATTGAATGAATTAAGTATATCATACTGCTAATGAGACTAGAAAGGCTTTTCACCTCCCTCAGTGTAAAAACCTACATAATCTGGGCCCCTACTGTCTCTTTGACCTCATTATCACATTCCTCCAAGCTTACTTTCCTTTAGCCACACTGGTCTCCTTGCTGTTCCCTGAACACACCAAACACACTTTGCACTTGCTGGTCCCTTTGCTTGGAATATTCTTTCCTCAGGTATCTATATGGTTCACTCTCTTCACTCCTCTAGATTTTGGTTCCAATTTCACCCTATCATGGTGGTCTTCTCCCGATTACCCTATAAAAACAAACCAGCATTCTATCCTTCTTATCCCACATTATTTTTCCCTACAGCGTTCATCATCGCTTGACAAATGTATATTTACTCTTATCTTTTTAACTGTCTCCCTCTCCCCCAACTAGAATGTAAACTTCATGAAGGCAGGGACTACGTTTTGTTAAACTGCTGTATCTCCAGCATCTTGAACACAACCAGGCATATAAACGTGATTAAATATTTGCTGAATGAATGAATACATCAAAACAATGTTAAAACACCAGAGAAATGACAACAGTAACAACTTAGCCACAAGATAATTTAGTTCTTTCTAATTGCTACCAAAAAAATACTTGTGCAGAGTGAAAACTAGTATATATATATATATATATATTTTTCCCTTTTTTGTCTTTTTTCGTGACCGGTAACGGGATCGCAACCCTCGGTGTCGCGCCCGCACCGCGCTCAGCCAGTGAGTGGACCGGTCTCTATATGGGATCCGAACCCTCGGCGGGAGCGCCGCACTCAACCGAGTGCACCACTGGGCTGGCCCGAAAACTAGTATATTAAAGACATGTTCTAAGAGTCAGAATGTACTCATCCCTTCAATAAATATTTTGGATATTCTACTTTATACTTGGGATAAGTCTGATCCTAGGAGCTGATAGTATAATTAGAAGACCTGGGTTTCAATCTCAGTTCTATCCCAGCAACCAGCTCAGTGACTTTGGCTAATTGATTTTTAATTTGTCCAAGCCCTCTACTTCCTCTGCCACAAAATAAAAATGCATGCATTACCTAGGTCCAAGAAATGTGAAAATCATGAATATATGAAAATACATTCTAAATTATAATGCCCTATACAAATATAAAAGAATCAAGTTTCTCTAAAATGTATTTGAGAAATATTTAGGGAATAAAAGAAAGGAAAGTTCTAAGAAATAACTGCAAAGATCCACATTTGAGGGCCGGCCCGTGGCTCACTCGGGAGAGTGTGGTGCTGATAACACCAAGGCCCCGGGTTCGGATCCCATATAGGGATGGCCGGTTCGCTCACTGGCTGAGCGTGGTGCTGACAACACCAAGTCAAGGG